GGCCAAACAAAGTAGTTTCGCTTTCACAACGAAGCACACAGCGTCTTCACGACATGGCGGCAGCAACAATACTACAGCGAGAATAAAAGTTACGCCTTCTTTCTTTGCGTGAACATTTGGGCGGCGTTATGCAAATCTTCCCACATAGTGACGTAGACATGTGGGGGCGTGTTAGAACGAGCCGTTTTAGGTAGGCGTGGTTGGATTTGAGACTTTAGTCTTTGCAACTTTACAGATCTTCTTTATGCACCAAGAGTTTGTAACTCTTCAAAGAGAAAGGAAAAATTGAAATCATATCATATGACCCCTTTAATTAAGTAGAAAAGTGTAAATATTGGTATATATATATTGATCAAACTGATAACATCTTAACACTTGAGTTTTCATGATACTGTGCATCCTTTTGAAAGGAATGGATTTATTGCAATGGATACAAAAATTGACTGTTCCATAAAGGTTTATTTGTTAAATTTTTTTTAATAAATACTTTTATTCAGCAAGGACGCATTCAATTAACCAAAAGTGACAGTAAAGACTTTTACATAAAAAAAACAACTTTCTATTAAAGAATCCTGAAAAGAAAATGTCACAGAATCCACAAAAATATTAAGCAGCACAACTAATAATATTTAAGACATGTTTCTTGAGCACCAAATCAGCATATTAGAGTGATTTCTGAAGTAACATGTGACACTGAAGACTGGAGTAAATGAGAGAGCATGCGGCTTGTATGTTCAAGATGCAGGCTAAGTGGTTGTTTTAATAAAATAGCCTACATGTATGACGTGGCAACCTTCAAAACAGACATACATGACAGTTGTTCATTATATCAAATATCAGAGAGAGAGAGAGAAATAAATATTAACAAATTGAATGAAAAAAAAACTAGACTATAGGCTTATTGTAGCTTCGTACATATGACAAACCCATGCAGAATTTGTTACAAATTATTAATTATCTATTTAATAACATGTAAAAATCTATTTAATAACATGTAATCCTCTTCTTTGAATGTCTCATGGTTATTTAAACACAGCTTTAAATAGCAAAAAAATCCATTCAGGTATTCCATTGATTAATGTTTTGTAATTGAGAGAAAAGCAGTTTGACAAGCTTCTTCCGATTCCTCCTTGTGTTTCGTCACTCTTTGGAGAACACCACATATATACCACTGCAACAGCGAGCCACAGATGTGCAGAACGGAGCGATGAAGATGTTAACCACACTCATCCACAGTGACCTCACACAGGGCAGGCAGCTATGAAACACCTGAATACAGGGCATCACACACCTATGGCAAGAGACAGTACTTTTCATTAAAACGTTTTATTGCATTGATGTAACAGATTTCATAAATAATCGCCAAAATGAGCGTACCAGATGTGCATACAGGCCAGTAGGGCAAAGAGACCCCCACAGAGACATGAGAGCGGAAGCACACACAGCGCTGTGAGGCAGCGGTAACCCCAGAGCCGCGCGGACTCGAAGCCGATGCTGCTGTACACCCACACGCGGTCGTAGCTGTGTGTGGAGACGGGCTCTGCCAAAACGTCGCTGAACTCTATCTAGTGTCACAATCAAGAGAAAGTTGGTGGCACTTTATTGATGGTCATGTTTTTTTCACTTATAACCTCCCACAAGAAGAGACAGTTGTGCTCACCTTCAAGTGTTTGTTGAGGCCACAGGGATCCCTGATCTCACCCTGAGTGAGGGACGATGTGGAGGAGAACTGTGGGGGAGGAGGCGGAGACGGGTGGATCTTCTTCACATCATCATCATATTCTTCGTCATCATCATCAATATTACACTCCACCAAATACTCGTCTGGCATCATATTTGACTGCAAAGCAGATCACACTCTTTGTGCAATTTCTTATACGCATCAGTGCAGAACCAAACAGTACAGTCGCCTATAGAGTATTTTTTTTTATTGAATAGGTTAGGTTTTTAGCATAACTGTGGGTTAAATGGTTTAGTTCCAGTAGAGAAACTACAGCAGTGGTTCTCAACATTTCTGACTGCTGGATATTTGCAAGATACCCACAAGATATTTCTGATACTTCTGTTACAATGACAGATGCTCATTTTGAAAAGTTTTATTTACAGAAACTTCGAGTGGCAATATAACTAAAATTAAATAAATAATTCAATTTTATATTCCAATAACGGAATATTGTTCATGGTTTACACTTTTTATTACCAATTTACATGACTTTTCTAGTTTGTAAATACATTGTTATTAAATAGCAATATCTAACCATGCAATAAAATTTTATATGATTGGGCTTTATATAGATTCATTATTAAAAAAAAAATGACTTAAGAATTTATTAATTCCTTTACTTTCCAGGCCTATAAATCGAAACTCTAAGATAGCGAGAACCTGGTTTTTAAGTAAAAATGGCAGGGAACAGATTTCAATGAGATAAATTATTTCAGTATATGTCTTGCTATTTTAGCTGTTCTTGCTGATTTTTAACCTTGTTTTGTCTTATTTTCAATTATTTTGAGCCATCTTGCATCCCCGGCTTTGGAAGTGTGCTGCTGAGGCCTCCTATTGGGTCCCAGCCCCACTGAACTACAAGCACATGTGACAAATATAAACTCAAATCAGACAAGACACACCCTGGCAACTCCTGCTTACTATTATTATTCACTCATTATAGCACATCATATTGTAATACTACATGTCTACTGAGAAGTGATGAAATGAACTCATCAGTACAGTATGGATGTAAATGTAACCATCATTTCATATCAATTTGTTAAAAAAATTAACCTAAAAGTATTTTGTTATTAAAACAATAAAAAAAAAAAACCCAGAAAGACTGCATTTAATTTTTAATAATAAATAAACATGATTATTATTATTATATGTTTATATTATTTAATTAAGAATTACCCATGAATGCTATGCAAAATAATTTAAGCAATTATGAATATTTATCACTTACCCTGTTCAACAGTCCTGGTCCAAAAATAAACTGTAATTCTGTCCAGGTCAATAAAGCAAATTCAGCAAAAGCAACAGTTTTGATCTATCTGACAGACACTGATAATCTCCATACATTTTCTCGTTGTCCACATCTAACAGATGAATATGTGGCCTGTATCAAACTATTACAGGAGGGGACCGTCTTTCAGTGTGGAGGTGTGACCTCACTCTTTCTGCCTTGTGTTCTTTGCCATAGTCTAGTGTGTAGAAGTGTCTGTACCCAGTGAAGAATTAGCAGGCTGAGTATAGAGTTATTTTGGGGAGAGGAATGGAGGGCACCACTGATCAGGTTACAGGACAGGCTAACCCTCCTCACACGTGGCCAGTTTCCTCACATATCATCTCATATTTAAAACAATAATTTATAGTTTTTTAGAAAACATACAGTGGGCTTAAAAAATATTCACTTTAAAATGTCTGTCATTGTGTTATACATTGTATTACACAGTGTTGTTATTGTTAGGTAATAAATCATACTGTAATGATACTTGCTCATCTGAGTGGTGAGAAGAACCCGTCACTGTATGGAATAGAACACTGGTTACACGACCCAACTAGCATTTCAAGAGTAATTATTATGCATGATGAAACACGCGGCAAGCCAAAGGTATTTTAGAATCTATATAATTTATTTTGATATTATTGTAATCCACACATCAATGATGACATGATCTACCAGAGACACACACTGCTAAAGGGAATGCATGGGTGATGGGCTGAACGTTGAGGGAGATCAGTGACCAGGGGAACTAATGTGCAGCAAAGAGAAAGTGAGTGCCATTGCTCTTCCTGCGACTACATGTGCTATTTCACAGTTTGATCTTTTCTCCAGTCAGTTCTCTGGCTTCTCTGTTGGACAGTTCCTGAGCTGCTCTGAGTGGCACTTGTCTTCACAGTTGTCTTTCCAGTTTTTGTATGTGACAGAGAGAAAATGGAGCCGTAGGGGTAAAAGCGGCTACAGAGCTGCGCTTATTTTGGCCGCTCCACCTGTTCCCACACGAGACTATCCACGTCAGTGTGTTTGCATGCATGTGTGCTGGTTCCTTTATGATAGAATGCTTTTTAAAGACTAATACATTGTAATTCAAATAATTGTAAAAATAGCAATGCGATTAAATGTAAAAAAAAAAAAATGAAATAGCAAATGATACAAAAAACCCTAAATGAGTCTTCTAAAAAAGAAAAACTGGAGCATTTTAATATTCATCATGTCGTAGTCGTACCTTGAACTATTTGAGCTATGCAACAAAAAGCATTGAAAAAGAAAAACTAAACACAATGAAGTAGAATCTTGGTTGGCAAACATCTGAGGGTAACGTTGGCCTTCAAAAATCTCTTCCTACATTCAGGGTGACACGTCTATATCTAAAATAACAATGTGGACTCTGTCTGTCATGGACGTCATTCCCACAATTCACTTGTCCATCTGAATCTATGTGCTTTGAGGGACTCAACACTTGTTTTCTGGTACTCCATGAATACTTCATCAGCAGATACTTATGTTTCTCCAAATGAACACAGTCTACACTACAGTCAAAAACGTCAGACACATTGGACATCACTGCGATGAATGATTAGTTAGGAAGAGGGAGATTCTTGAATGAGGACCAGATTAACTGTTGTCAAAGCTAAAACACAAATACAACCAATAATAGGATCAATGACTTGGTCTCACGTGAAACAAAACCATATTCAGTCACTGTCAACTGAAATATTTTGAATACAATAAGGCATAAAGAGTACCATATATTGTATTTCTGGAAAAATAGATTCATATCTGTGATGAGTTTGCTGTTCCCCCACAACACCCATACTCAGATTCACTCATCTATCATCCCTTCCTCTCCCTCAGTCCTGTTGGTCTTGGGGTTTGAAGAGACCTCTGCTGCGCAGGCCGAAGCCTCCCTTCTTCACTGGAGGTCGAGCAGCAGCGGAGGGTACTGAAGGGACAGATGCGGGAGGAGAGGACGGAGGAGGGTTCGAACCCGAGGCTTCTAGAGGAGGCTGACGGGACAACAGCTCCTTAAACACGGAGTTCATCTGCCGACTGACCTCCTATGAGAAAGAGAGAAACGGTCATTATTACATAAGGATATCCGTTAGGGTTTACAAGTGCTAGCTCATGGATTGAAACTTACATTTATTGTCTAAGATAATATTCCTCCCATGTAGGCATGTAGGTAAGATATTTTTGGTATTTCTACTGTAATGACAAAGCTGCTTGTTTTTTGTTTACAAAGTGGAAATACATTAAATATATTAAATAAAAATGTATAAAACAATAATTATTAAATTCAGTAATTCCAGACATTTTAAAAACTGAATTTTACAGTAGTTCATGGGGTATTTTTACAGTTTAACAAATAGCAATTTCTACCTGATAAAATATTTTAGAGTTATAAAATAAAAGACAAAATAAAATATTCTAGAGACATAACTATAACTATGTATATTCATCATAGAAATTCCCATGACTTCTTAATATTTTATTAAGTTCAATGACTTTCCCAGATATAGAAATCACATTTATACCCCTTTTTATTTTAAAATAAAATAAAAGAATATGATGTTAGTTAATATCTAGATTTTTAGCTTTTAATGCATATTTAGTCTTATTTTAAATATTTTTAAGCCATCTTGCGGCCCCTGAGGAATTGCGTTGAGGCCCCCAGTGGGTCCCAGTCTCTCATTTAAGGAGTCGTTGAGGAGTTGATTCATTTAAATGATTGTACTTATGAGTGCTGAAATATGGCCAAAGAGACAAAAAAGAGATTTGAATATGGTTCAGTAGATAATTCAGATTTTTAAGCCTTCATACAGAACAATTTAGATTCATTATATAAATTACCATAACTGTTAAGATTTTAATTACATCTCCATGACTCTCCCAAGCCTGGGAAAAACAATTTAGCAATTTCCTAATATAGCCAGAATTTCCATAAGTGTGAAAACCCTGGTATGTATTCAAATATGGCATGGCCAGTTCAGGTTTGATGACTGATGTGCTAAATTTTACATATACAAATGAAATTTGAAAGCTACAATAAGATGGCAAGATTGTCAATGAATAATGATTTAAATTCTGTTCATCTCATAAAGCTATCATATGGCAAATTAACACATGAATATAGACCATGAGTCATAGGGCCTATTTTTCTGGGGCTTTACGGTTATTGTATGGTTCTTTTTGTTATTTTTCTAGCTTGACAGACCTTGCTTACTTGTATGTTTTCACTGCACATGGAGTTCTTCAAGACTCCTCATTCTCAGTGAATGAATACAGAACTTAAATTTTTGAGCATAGTATTCCTTCAGTGGAAATATCAGTAGAAGAATCAGACCTTGTCAATATGTACTGTCTGTCTGTCTGCTGGTCCTCCAACTGGCCTCAGACTGTCTAAAGTGTGTCTGCGCTCCTGATGACTGAAGAGAAAGAAGGACAGGCAAATAAGGGAATAAAAATGTTCAACTGCTTATAACAATACACTACAGTTCAAAGGTTTGTGGTCGGTAAGATTTTCTTTAAAGAAGTTTATGCTCACCAAGGCTGCACTTACTTGTTTCAGCTATCTGCCTTCTTTAGTGTAACAATTCACTGTTTCTCAGAAACAGAAATGAAGAAACGGTGAACTATTAAACTGAAGAAAGCAGATAGCTGAAACATTTATGATACAGTTTTTATCCTGTGCTTTAAAGAGATAGTTCCCCCAAAAATTAAAATTCTGTCATTAATTACTCACCCTCATGTCGTTCTAAACCCGTAAGACCTTCGTTCATCTTCGGAACACAAATTAAGATAATTTTTAGGTCTGCACGATAAATCGCATGCGATATTTACCGCTGATTAAAGAACCGGCTTTACTGACAAGATGCGCGTTAAATATCGCATGCGATTTATCGTGCAGCCCTAATAATTTTGATGAATTCCGAGAGCTCTCTGACCCTCCATGGACAGCAAGGGTACTACCACAATCAAGGTCCAGAAACGTAGCAAGGACATCGTTAAAATAATCCATGTGACATCAGGGGTTCAACCGTAATATTACGAAGCTACGAGAATACTTTTTGTGTGCAAAGAAAACAAAAAGAACAAATTTATTCAACAGTTTGTCTCCTCCTCGTCACCATGGCGCCATTTTGGAGAGTATCTGAGTATTCAGTATCTGAACGTAAACAACGTATGCTGTTCTGTGTCAGCAGTGCCACGCGGATACGTTGTTTACATTGTTTACGCTTTGATTTGAATGAAAACAACGTTTACGTGTGGTGCTGCATACGTTGTTTACGTTCAGTGGATACTCACTAACATGGTGCTATAGGGTGACGCGGAGGAGGCAAATTGTTGAATAAAGTCGTTATTATTGTTTTCTTTGCACACAAAAAGTATTCTCATAGCTTCGTAAAATTGCGGTTGAAACCCAGATGTCACATGGATTATTTTAACGATGTCCTTGCTACGTTTCTGAACCTTGATCATGGTAGTATCCTTGCTGTATATGAAAGGGTCAGAGAGCTCTCAGAATTCATCAAAAATATCTTAATTTGTGTTCTGAAGATGAATGTCTTACGGGTTTAGAACGACATGAGGATGAGTAATTAATGACAAAATTTTCATTTTTGGATGAACTATCCCTTTAAGGGAATTTTTTTAGAATGCAGACTTTTTTGAACTTTCTGATTAAAAATACAGTAAAAACAGAAATTGTGTTAAATTTTTATCATTTAAAATAACTATTTTCTATTTTAAGATATTTTAAAATTTATTTGTGTGATGACAAAGCTGAATTTTCAGAATAATTACTTACACTAGTCTTCAGTGTCACATGATCCTTCAGAAATCATTCTAATATGCTGATTTATTGCCCAGGAAACATTAATCATTATTGCCAATGTTGAAAATGTTTTATTTTTACAGGTACTTTTTTTCAGGATTAAAAAACAAGGATTATTCAGAATTATTTGACGAACTGAAACTTATTTTAAAACGGACATCTTTTAATTTTACTGACACTTTTGATCAATATAATGCATCCTTGCTAAATAAAAGTATTTATTTGCTTAAAAAAAAAAATCTTGTTGAAATTTTGATTTAGCATAAACACTGTTTTTGTCATCTCCAGAATAATTCTGTAAGCTCATTGAGGTTTAATGGTGGTCATACACACTCATACACAAGACCTTCAGCAGCTGGTACCATCAAAACGA